CTGGTAGTCATTGAAAACATAATCCTTAAAAAATCCTCACCTCTGATAGTCATTGAAAAAATATTCTTTGACAAATCCACGCCTCTGATAGTCCCTGAAAAATTTATTCCTTGAATAGACATTTATGAACGTAGACAGTGATGGCGTATACTTTATGACAATTTTGGATTATATTGTTCATACGCCACATTGGAATATTTTATTTATTATAGAAGATTTTATTGGGCGAAACGAACACTGAGTTCGTTTTTAACTAATCTGTATATGGGTGAGAAAATATTCTTCAGCTTTTCCCCGATTTGTGCCAATTGTTTTCCATACTCTTTCCAGAATACATATTTCTAGCCTGTCTATGAAATTTTTCCCCGAATCTTCTATCTAAGCTCCAAAGTACCCTGATTGCAGTTTGTTTCCATATAAATTCAAAATATTCCACAAAGAATTCTATGTAACAACGGACACATTTTTTTGGTTACACACAAAAAAATAACATCATGAATTGAATCTCATGGACTACACTTCATTTCACATTTTGTGTGTGTGTGTGTGTGTGTTTGTTTATCAACTTCCTGGAATTGTCTTTTTTGTATTTTCTTGATTGTTGTGGAGTAGATTTTGTTGTCATATCCTGTTTGATATTTTTTGTATGACTTTTTTTTACCAGAACTCCATGTTGTTGACTCTTCGAACTAAACAAAGTTCTGCTTCTGCAAAAATTTCCAATCCAATCTCAGATGACAATAATGAAGGAGGGGGAGAGATGGAGGCGGTATGGGAAAAGATACAGCACAAGGATAATAAACTTGAATTAGATAACGGTTTGTGTCTGACTTTATTTGTTGTTGTTGTCGATAAGGTCGTTGGCTCAAGTTGATCTAATTGATTTGGGAAATTAAAGCATGACCATAATGGACAAGGAGAGCAATGGAGAAGGAGCAAGATATAAGATAGTGGATGAGAGCAAATAAAGGATTCATTATTTTTTAACTAATGAGGGCATAAGAGGGTAAATTAATCAAGACCTTTGTAAATGTAAAAAATGTCCTTTCCTTACGTTTGTATGCCCTTCACCTTAAGAAGGGGTGGGTATTTAAGTTTTGTCATTTCATTTGGAACATTTATCAAAGGACTAACACAAGATGTGAAATTCTAAAGGAATCTATTTAAAGACCTACAAAAGATGTAGCTAAAATTTTTCTAGAACATACGCAAGACCAACGTTTTTTTAGAGAATATTTTTGCAAGGCACAAGGCGTGGATTTTTTAAAGAATATTCTTTAGGGACTATCTGAGGCGTGGATTTTTAAAGAATATTTTGTCAAGGACTATCTGAGCCGTGGTTTTTTTAAAGAATATTTTTGTCAAGGGTCTATAAGGCACAAGGCGTGGATTTTTTAAAGAATATTTTTTCAAGGCACAAGGCGTGGATTTTTTAAAGAATATTTTTTCAAGGTTCTATATGGCACAAGGCGTGGATTTTTTAAAGAATATTTTTTCAAGGCACAAGGCGTGGATTTTTTAAAGAATATTTTTTCAAGGTTCTATATGGCACAAGGCGTGGATTTTTTAAAGAATATTTTTTCAAGGTTCTATATGGCACAAGGCGTGGATTTTTTAAAGAATATTTTTTCAAGGCACAAGGCGTGGATTTTTTAAAGAATATTTTTTCAAGGTTCTATATGGCACAAGGCGTGGATTTTTTAAAGAATATTTTTTCAAGGCACAAGGCGTGGATTTTTTAAAGAATATTTTTTCAAGACACAAGGCGTCGATTTTTAAAGAATATTTTTTCAAGGCACAAGGCGTGGATTTTTAAAGAATATTTTTTCAAGGCACAAGGCGTGGATTTTTTAAAGAATATTTTTTCAAGGCACAAGGCGTGGATTTTTTAAAGAATATTTTTTCAAGGCACAAGGCGTGGATTTTTTAAAGAATATTTTTTCAAGGCACTAGGCGTGGATTTTTTAAAGAATATTTTTTCAAGGCACTAGGCGTGGATTTTTTAAAGAATATTTTTTCAAGGCACTAGGCGTGGATTTTTTAAAGAATATTTTTTCAAGGCACTAGGCGTGGATTTTTTAAAGAATATTTTTTCAAGGCACTAGGCGTGGATTTTTAAAAAATATTTTTTCAAGGCACAAGGCGTGGATTTTTTAAAGAATATTTTTTCAAGGCACAAGGCGTGGATTTTTTAAAGAATATTTTTTCAAGGCACAAGGCGTGGATTTTTTAAAGAATATTTTTTCAAGGCACAAGGCGTGGATTTTTTAAAGAATATTTTTTCAAGGCACAAGGCGTGGATTTTTTAAAGAATATTTTTTCAAGGCACAAGGCGTGGATTTTTTAAAGAATATTTTTTCACGTGGATTTTTTCAACAAAGGTCAATGAAGTAATTTTTTCTAATAAATTTTTTTAAGAAGATTTTGATTTTCGTAGAAATGTACAATGACGTGAATTTTTATTAATGACAACGACGTGGATTTTTACAAAAATATATTTATGCTAAGAATACAATTTTTAGATGAAAAAATGTTTTTTTTATATTTTTTTAGGACTATAGACGTGGATTTTTTATTTTTAAAAAAATATTTGTACAAGGAAAATTATGGGCGTAGATTAAAAAAATTAAATTCAAAATTTTAAGACGTGGATTTTAAAAATATATTTTTCTATTTTTCTATATATTTTTATACCCTTCACCACACTGTGGTACAGGGTATTATGTCTTTGTGCATATGTTTGTAACAGGCAAAAGGGAATGAGATAGATACATGGTTCCTTTTGAAAATATGCATTGAATCACTTTCTAAGTCGATTTATGCATGTCCGTCCGTCCCTCCGTCTTTCCATCTGTCTGACCATGTTAAATTGTAAACAAAGTACAGGTCGCATTTATGATCCGATTTAGATGAATGTTGGCATAAGTCACTTATTTGGCCCAAGGACGAACCCTATTGAAATTGGGAAAAATCGGTTTAGATTTAGATATAGCTCGCATATATTGTTTCGTCCGATTATTTGTAAGTGTGTGCTAAATTTCGTGAAAATCGGTTCAGATTTAGATATAGCTCCCATATAAAGTTTCGTCCGATTTTATGTAAGTGGTGAACCAAAGTCCTTATATATCTTTTGATATGCGCAAAATTTTGCCTGGTCTGGAATGAATTGTGCCAAATTTCGAGAAAATCGGGTCAGATTTATATATAGCACCCATATATAATTTGGTCCATATACATTTTCGTCCGATTTAATGTAAATTGTACACTATATATCCAAAGTTTGGCCGGCCGGCACACAATTTTTTACAATGTACTGAAGTTACTATAATTGAATGCTTTGTACCTTGAAGTGTTTCTATATTTTATATAATTGTTCGTTCATGTCAAATGTATTTACAGAAATGTTGTGTTTTTTTCTGTATTTGTATTTAAACTTGATGTTGTTGTTGTTCTGCATGTTCATGGGGATTTTCGTGCCTTTGAGATGGAAATCTGTCCCTACCATAGCTCGTGTTTTAAGTTTCGAGAAAATCGTGTTAGGTTTAGATTTAAGTTCGTTCAGTTTCAAGTCAATGTTCCTTCGAACTTTACTGGTTCTATATTATATAGGCGTTGATTAAAAATATGTATATAGGCATGTATTTCAAAAATAAAAATAGGAAGGATTATAGACGAGGATCTTATTTTTCTTCAAATGGAACTATAAGTGTGGATTTCTGAAAAATATATATACTATAAGTGTTTTTTTTAAGAAGATCTATAATTGTGAATTTTTTTTTTAATTCTGTCTCCAAATTTGATCTAAAAAACTAGGCGCAGATTTTTTAAATATATTTTTTAAAAAATAAATATCGGCGTGGATTTAAAGAAAATATTTCTTTTGTTAGAAATGAACGTTAATGACTTAAAACTCCAACGATAAGCGTTGGATTTTTTTTTTTGTTTGTTGTTGTTTAATATTAAATTTTCTATAATAATAAATAATTTTAATTAGCCTTACATTAAAGTCGATATTTATTGCCTCCTTAAATTGCCTATTCCGATCAATGCTTAGGAAAAAACCATACACAAACCTTTTAATGCTACAAAAGTATTGAATTAGAAAGTAACAATTTCCGTTTTTTATATTCCTCTTCATATCATTACAGCTATTAAATGAAGACATAAAAGTTAATAGAAGCAACAACAACAACAAAAATAAAAAAACATACAAAAGGATCACAAAACAACAGCAACAACAATAAAAACAACACCCAAAGAAATTAAAGGAAAAAATCCACATACAAATTCATCAGTCGATGTAACACGCACTCACACTACCACCACCATCATCATCGGCGTCATTGTATTGGTGTATGTATGTGCAGGCAATAAAACATGATATTTAATGTTCTAGTCAAGTCAAGAGAAAATTCCGCGTAAAGAGAAGAGGAGTGAGAACGAACGACAGAAGGTGTAAACCCCAAAGACAGAAAAAGAAGAAGAAGAACGATATAAAAGAGTTTGAAACAAGTTGTGGTATTACGAAGGGGTAAAGCGAACTGAGGTGTGTGTGTGTGCGACGGAGCCATATCTGCAGCAATAATTTCTTGTTGGTTATCAGCAGTTCAAAGCAAAGTACACAAGGCATTTAACCGGAAAGCCAACATAGAAATCACCTCCAAAGTTATTTTGCACATAAATGCCAAAGTAAAAAGCAGCATACTAACCCATAAACCAAAGCCAAAGGCAAAGGCTACACAAGGAAGCCAGCAAGCCAACAAGCACGTGGCAATAAAAATACCTCAAAAAGGAGCCAAAGCAGAACACACACAACATAATTTTTAAAATACGTTTTCAAAATCGCAACGCATGTTTGAATTTATGTTCAATATTTCAATCGCTTATAATTCATTCGGAAAGTGTCTCTTCCAGAAGGCAACAAGAAATATTGATTTCAATTGAGAAAAAAACAATCCCGAACAGGCGACGACATTCAAACTCCACATTTCAAAATCATCAATAAAAAACAGCAGTCGTGGATACCCACGGTGATTTAATAGAGCCAACAGCGTCCGTGCCAAAGTGTCCCACCAATACCACACCGCCGTATCAGAGGCTTACCAAAGCTCTGCAATGCGATCCAAGATGCGGACACGAGGTGAGTACTTGAGATTTTAAATTTTTTACAAGGACCTCAAAAGGCGAGGTTTTTTCAAGGGTTACAATAGGGGTGGATTTATTAAAGCATATCTTTTCAAGGGTTACAATGGGCGTGGATTTTTAAGAACATTTTTAAGGGGTACCACAAGACGTGTATTTTTTTTAAAGAATGCTTTTTCAGGGTGTCTTACAAGGCGTGGATTTTTTTAAGAATACTTTTTCATGGACCTACACAAGCGTGGATTTTTAAGGAATATTTTCTCAGGGTGTCCCACAAGACGTGGATTTTTTTACGAATACTTTTTCATGAACCTACACAAGGCGTGGGTTTTTTTAAGAATATTTTTTGAGGGTGTCTTATAAGGCGTGGATTTTTGTGGATTTGGATTGGTGTCTTATAAGGCGTGGATTTTTTTTGGATTTGGAAGGCGTGGATTTTTTAAGAATATTTTTTGAGGGTATCTTACAAGGCGTGGATTTTTTTAAGAATATTTTTTGAGGGTATCTTACAAGGCGTGGATTTTTTTAAGAATATTTGTTCATGAACCTACACAAGGCGTGGATTTTTTTAAGAATATTTGTTCATGAACCTACACAAGGCGTGGATTTTTTAAAGAATATTTTTTGAGGGTGTCTTATAAGGCGTGGATTTTTTTGGATTTGGATTGGTGTCATATAAGGCGTGGATTTTTTTGGATTTGGATTGGTGTCATATAAGGCGTGGATTTTTTTGGATTTGGAAGGCGTGGATTTTTTAAGAATATTTTTTGAGGGTATCTTACAAGGCGTAGATTTTTTTAGGAGTATTTTTTGAGGGTATCTTACAAGGCGTGGATTTTTTTAAGAATATTTGTTCATGGACCTACACAAGCGTGGATTTTTAAAGAATATTTGTTCAGGGTGTCCCACAAGAAGTGGATTTTTAAAGAATATATCCTTCAGATCCATATAACAGCACGGGTAGTATCAGCGTCTTGTAAAGTGTAAGTTTGGTCTGGCGGGAGGTGGCCTTGTTTCTAAATTGCTTACATAGATCATAGTAGCATCTATTGGCCATCACTATCCTTCTCCGAATTTTAAAACTGATGTCATTCGTTTTATTTATGGCGGTACCAAGGTATATAAAATCTTTAACTACATCGAAGCAGTAGTTCTCAAGTTCCACAGTTGATCCGAGTCTACTGGACGCCTTGCACGTAGATACCATCAGCTTGGTCTTCTCGCCGTTTAGTGCCAGACCCACTTTGGCAGACTCCTTGGTATGCGTCGATGTGTTTTTCGTGGGTCTTTTCCAGGATTTAGCGCGGAGTGAAAATCTGGTCAATGGTGGATTTGCCAGGTCTTAAGCCGCATTGGTATGGTCCAATAGTGTCATTGAACATTGGCTTCAATCGTTCACACAGCACACTGGATAGCACTTTATATGCGATGGGAAGAAGGCGAAGGCTCTATATTTGGCACATATCGTCTTGTTTTTGTGCACGGGACCCTGGATGCTGAGGTTACAATCGTTGGGCATGCATTCCTCTAGCCAAATTGTACTAATCAGCTGGCGCATGTTCTTGACCAGCATCTTACCACCAGTCTTGAATAGTTCGGCTGGTAACACATTGGCTCCTGCTACTTTATTGTTCTTGAGCCGATTAATTGCTTTTATGACCTCATCTTGGCTAGGCTAGGTGGTATACACTCTATACAATCTCATCTCTTATTGGTTCTGGGGTATCTTCTTCAACGCCACTATTTGATACCAAATGATCTTTCCAGATCTTCAACGCGCTGTCTGTATCTGTCACCAGGTTTCATTCTTTATCTCTACAGGAGGATGTGCCTACACCAAAACCTTCGGTTTGGTGTTTTACTCGTTGGTAAAATTTCCGGACATCATTCTGAGTCGTGTACATCTCGATTTGCTCACGCTCACGTTTTTCTTGTTCTTTCTTCTTTTTTCTGAAAACACGTTTCACCTATCTCCTTTTCTCCCGATAATTCTCCATCACATTACGTGTAGCTACTGCGTGCTAGGTTGCCCTATACACTGCGGTGTTCACATCATTAGCATTTCAGGCCTTAGACAAGGCGTGGATTTTATAAAGAATATTTTTTCAGGCCTTAGACAAGGCGTGGATTTTATAAAGAATATTTTTTCAGGCCTTAGACAAGGCGTGGATTTTATAAAGAATATTTCTTCAGGCCTTAGACAAGGCGTGGATTTTATAAAGAATATTTTTTCAGGCCTTAGACAAGGCGTGGATTTTATAAAGAATATTTTATCAGGTCTTAGACAAGGCGTGGATTTTATAAAGAATATTTTTTCAGGTCTTAGATAAGGCGTGGATATTATAAAGAATATTTTTTTCAGGTCTTAGACAAGGCGTGGATTTTATAAAGAATATTTTTTCAGGTCTTAGACAAGGCGTGGATTTTATAAAGAATATTTTTTCAGGCCTTAGACAAGGCGTGGATTTTATAAAGAATATTTTTTCAGGCCTTAGACAAGGCGTGGATTTTATAAAGAATATTTTTTCAGGTCTTAGACAAGGCGTGGATTTTATAAAGAATATTTTTTCAGGTCTTAGATAAGGCGTGGATATTATAAAGAATATTTTTTTTCAGGTCTTAGACAAGGCGTGGATTTTATAAAGAATATTTTTTCAGGCCTTAGACAAGGCGTGGATTTTATAAAGAATATTTCTTCAGGCCTTAGACAAGGCGTGGATTTTATAAAGAATATTTTTTTCAGGCCTTAGACAAGGCGTGGATTTTATAAAGAATATTTTTTTTCAGGTCTTAGACAAGGCGTGGATTTTATAAAGAATATTTTTTTTCAGGTCTTAGACAAGGCGTGGATTTTATAAAGAATATTTTTTTCAGGCCTTAGACAAGGCGTGGATTTTATAAAGAATATTTTTTCAGGCCTTAGACAAGGCGTGGATTTTATAAAGAATATTTTTTCAGGCCTTAGACAAGGCGTGGATTTTATAAAGAATATTTTTTCAGGCCTTAGACAAGGCGTGGATTTTATAAAGAATATTTTTTCAGGCCTTAGACAAGGCGTGGATTTTATAAAGAATATTTTTTTCAAGAACCTTAACAAGGCGTGGATTTTATAAAGAATATTTTTTCAGGTCTTAGACAAGGCGTGGATTTTATAAAGAATATTTTTTCAGGTCTTAGATAAGGCGTGGATATTATAAAGAATATTTTTTTCAGGTCTTAGACAAGGCGTGGATTTTATAAAGAATATTTTTTCAGGTCTTAGACAAGGCGTGGATTTTATAAAGAATATTTTTTCAGGTCTTAGACAAGGCGTGGATTTTATAAAGAATATTTTTTCAGGTCTTAGACAAGGCGTGGATTTTATAAAGAATATTTTTTCAGGTCTTAGACAAGGCGTGGATTTTATAAAGAATATTTTTTCAGGTCTTAGACAAGGCGTGGATTTTATAAAGAATATTTTTTCAGGTCTTAGACAAGGCGTGGATATTTTAAGGAATATTTTTTCAGGTCTTAGACAAGGCGTGGATTTTATAAAGAATATTTTTTCAGGTCTTAGACAAGGCGTGGATTTTATAAAGAATATTTTTTCAGGTCTTAGACAAGGCGTGGATTTTATAAAGAATATTTTTTCAGGTCTTAGACAAGGCGTGGATTTTATAAAGAATATTTTTTCAGGTCTTAGACAAGGCGTGGATTTTATAAAGAATATTTTTTCAGGTCTTAGACAAGGCGTGGATTTTATAAAGAATATTTTTTCAGGTCTTAGACAAGGCGTGGATTTTATAAAGAATATTTTTTCAGGTCTTAGACAAGGCGTGGATTTTATAAAGAATATTTTTTTCAGGTCTTAGACAAGGCGTCGATTTTATAAAGAATATTTTTTTCAGGTCTTAGACAAGGCGTGGATTTTATAAAGAATATTTTTTAAGGCCTTAGACAAGGCGTGGATTTTATAAAGAATATTTTTTAAGGCCTTAGACAAGGCGTGGATTTTATAAAGAATATTTTTTAAGGCCTTAGACAAGGCGTGGATTTTATAAAGAATATTTTTACAAGGTGTCCCACATTTTCCCATTTTTAATTATTTAAAAAAATAGTTTTCCTTCTTTCCCGCCTAGTGTAATAGTTGCCATATCATCGTTCCCTTATTTCCTTGGAATTTAATTTTCATTTATCCTGTCTACTGAACTATATAATAAACTTGCTAAAAGCATCTCTTATCTGCGACATAACACATAAATGAGAATCCCTATATTTATGTGGTTGCATGGTTGTTGCGATGTATGTGTGTGTCTGCATTGTCATGAATATTCATCAAAAATAACCAAGGTAAAAATCCATAACCATATCCATGTCACTGTCAATTTCAATTACAGGAAATAAACTAACAATGAATACCTTGAACCAAAAACAACAACCAGTACAACAGCAGCAACAACTGGTTACAGACATGTCTGTTGTTATAACACAGACGCACACAAACATACTCACGTGTATACTTACTTACGTAAATGTGTCAGGATATCAGATGTTCCTTAAGACACCACTTGATTTCTTAGTTCGTGTGTGTGTGTAAAGTTTTAATATGAATGAATAATAATGTCGCACACACACACACATACACCCAAACGTGTGTTCGAGATGAATTCAATGTTTATGTATGAGTTGGTGCATGTGTGTATTGTGTGGTTTTCGGGGATATTTCTTGTGTGTTGTAATTTTCACTACGGTTTTGTGGGGTGGTCCTCTTTTCAATATTCATTTTCTTTTGTGGTTCGGTTGTGCGAAGCCCATTTTTCGGATTTTCCCCAAACATACAAATTATTATTTTCACGTCAAATGCTAATTTCTGGAACAATTTGTGGTTAACATTTCTCATTTGGTTCGAAATGTGAGGTTGAAATGTTATACTAATTTAGCCTTTTGATTATAATGTGTGTATGTATACCTTAGGCCCCGTGTGGTGTGAAACTAGCATTTTGATTCCAATTTAAATTT